GTTTGGCATCGTTGTAGCCCGAGAGAGACTGTTTGTGACTTGTTGAACCACTTGCGCGGCCGCCTCTGCCACCATTTGTTGCACCTCCTGCCTGGTCATTATCACCTGCTGTTCAGGGTCCTGAACCACCGCTCGCGGCGGTGCTCCTCCTTGGGCCACCGCTCTTTCTGGTTGCGTCCCCATTCCTCCCGGTTGCGCCACCGTCGCTCCCAGTTGTGCTCCCCCTCCTCCTGGTTGCGCTGCCGTTGAGCTGCGTGGCGGTGGTGGTGGTGGCATCGCCGCTGCGTCCGCTGCGCGGGCCTCGTGAGCACGGTTGGGGCCAGCGTCTCCTTCGGGAATCGCCGTTGTCATTCCCACACCTTGGAGCACAGGCATGGGAGTGATCGGCGTCTGTGATGGACCAGAAAAACCCGGGGGAGGACCCTGTCCCAATGGTCTGGTCGTTGTCCAAGCATCATCGAATGTTGACTGTAAATTTTTGGGGATTCCGTCCGCCATAGCTGAGCTTCAAGCACACCTTTTCAAACGAAAGTCCCACAGACGGCGCCAAATGGTAACACAAAACTCCTCGACCGGCTGGAACTTGAGAAATCGCCTTCCTTCTTACCGGTTGAATATCGTGCACCTGAAAAGAACTCTCACACCGGAGGGGTTTTCCGGTGAAGAGCCTCTGAAGCTTAAGTCAGTGTGTAATCAATCAATTCTCAAAAGTAAGTAGTAGAATGATCGTGTTGAAGAAGAAAGGCTCACCCCCTTTATATAGGGGTGAGATACCTGACCTAGGGCTGCCCGGATTTGATGAGTTGTCTGCCCTAACTGCCCGTCCGTACACACCAAACGCGTGTGTCAGAGGTAGCCGTCGCCACTATCGCCTGCACCAATTTTTTTTGGACACGTGTCCTCTTGCACATGGGGTAGGCTGTCAGAGGTGGTTATCGCTATTCACCACTGCCTTCTCGACACGTGTCCCCCCACACATGGGGTAAATATTCTCCTGGAATTCTGTCAGAGGCATCCTTCACGCGCCTATGACTAGGCCAAACAGCGTGGTATTAAGTCCTCGAAGTGATCGACCTGTTGAGGTCGAGTAGGTTGCTCGATCATGCATCTGGTCGAAGGATAGTTTGGTCGACAGTCTTGCTCGGTCGACTTGTTGGCTGCTCGATTTCTTTGGCTTCCTCATAATACGACCTCCTCGACCGGTCAGGAGACCGGCTCAGCCTTGTGGGTATAATATCCCATATCAACATACTTCTTATTGGCAACAACAAGAAGGAGTTGTCGAACGTAAAGGCGTGGTTGTCTAAGCA